CTCATATATTTTATCTGCTATACAGTACAGTGTGAGATATATGAAGGGATTAAGCTGGATATTTGGGGCAAACAGATGGAATTCAATTATCTCGCCTACTCCTGGCTATTATTGTATTAGGTCTAAGCTTGATATAATTTTAGTCCATTGTTATAATTATATTTCTTCACACTGAATCTCCAATGATAATTCACCGTGATCGCTGCCATTTTGAGGGTCAGTAATAATTCGCGTACCTGGAAAAGAACACGAAAATGTAATAAATTTAAAACACTTTTAACGAACGAAAACGTGAAATATATTATTTAAGTTATTTACGTTTTGGATGCTTTGCAACTTTTTTTATATATATTTTATATAAATGTGTACCATTCTAAACTACAGATAATAGTATTTACAATAGATAGATCGATAGTTCAATAAAAAAAAACAACAAAATTCATTAGATATTTAAGAATAAATGCGCACTACGCCGTAAGTAACGTACGTTTCTTGGTCGTCTTAGTTTTTATGCCCAAAAGTTACTGAGTATGAAAATTTAAACAAAAAGTTTAAGGATATATTTATGTAATTCATTTGAGGTTTAAATTATTTTATTTAATTCACGGACCAATTGAACATAACATGGAAGCGTTTCAAAAACTGCAACGAAGCTGACATAGAGAAAATTCGGATTATATCTAACCTAATAGAACTAGTACAGTGACAATCCTAAAAACAAATACTTATTGGAATTTAAAAATCGAAAATAAATAGAAAAATTTTCGACTCGGACAGGACTTGAACCGGCATCGTCAGCGTTCCGTGCTGTTGCTCTACCTATTGACCTACCGAGTACTTATTGGATTGTCAGAAAACATTTAAAATAATCATGTTAATATCTATCGTTATAAATTAAGATTCAAACAAGTAATTAATGTCCGCATAATGAACACATAAACATTTTAGATGGGCGTTGTATCAAATTAATTATAGTACCTACATTTAGTATTACAATTTTATTAAGTTACAGTAGCAGAATGGTCAAATGCCAAGGTCAGACGTCACGTTCCATGTGCCCGTGTGTATTTCCGAATTTTGATCAACAGGAAGTCAATTTAAGATAATTGGCGCGTTAAGAATTTGCACACTCTTAACGGAGTTAACAGGGTCATTTGTCTAATATCGTTGATTAGTGGAAAGTTTTAAGATCGTATTGATCTAGCGCGCGACAGGCTGTAAGATTACTATTTTATTTGATTGACTAGCTGTGTGAGCGACTTTTTGGGCATTAAAATGTGTTTTTGTAAATCTATTCATCTTTCAAATTTAGGCTGTTATCCACGACTGCGGTTGCGTTCCGTCGTTGTTGCAAGTTAATCTTATAAGATAGATATAGTGTCGCGGACATTTTTTTAGATCATTTAAAGAGAAACCATTCATTTATACATATTTTATGGGTATTTTGATCCGTTTTCGCAGCGCGCGCATCTGAAACCCACAGAAATGAATAATTATTCCCGTTTTTTACATATTACTCCTGTTAGACATAGTGCATTTTTTTAGATTTCCTCGATAAATTCTCTAATCAACACATTTTTTAAAAATTTGAACCAGTAGTTCCTGAGATTAGCGCATTCAAACATACAAACAAACAAACTCTTCAGCTTTTTTTATTAGTATAGATAGATTTCTCAGAACAAACATTCCTCTAGGATATGCGTAGAATTATTTAAGAAATAATTGTACTCCTAAAATTATAATATTATTAAATAAAAATGCAAGTCATAGAAATATTCTTGTCATTAGTCAAAAAATACCTACTTATAAAAAGGTGTGGCTTTATTTTTAACTCGTTTTAAACGGAACATATTAAGCCTTCAAAGTAGTTTTTCTTCGAGACAATTTATATCTTTATGCTTAAGTCGTAGTGAGAATTCCTTTCGCGCCTTCGAAAAATATTACAATGCCATAGGTCAGTGAACGAACGTTTAAAGTGCCTCTGTGGATGAAAACATATTAAATGTACGAGTTATTTCTTCTCAAGAACACAGATTTCTTACTTCCGGGTATAGATTAGAAACGATAGTCATATTTTTTTCTTGTTATCTTAGTTATAAGCAAAGATTTGAAAATATTATTATTTCTCACACGTTTTTGCACACGATGGTATTAATGTAAAAATGTGTTTAGATTTATTTAATTTTTACGCCACGGTCAACAATAGTTCCGTGGTGCTGTTGTAACCAATCGAGCTATCGTGTACACGCCGTACGACCATGGTACATGCCAACGTTAAGCCACTAAAAAATAAGATTTTTTTGGGGAAACAAATATTTGAGACGTAATTTTACGTTTACAAAAACGCCGCAAATATAACGGCCCTGAGTTTTGACACGTTTAAAAATAAACTCGCCGATAATATTTGTTATTTGTATCTAATTACTCGTGCGAGTATCTAGTACTAATTGCCGAAACGAGTAATACGAGTTAAGAATGTCCAAGGGCGGATTGGCGATTGCAAGAAATTCTCCTTTCAACATAGAGGCGCTTGTTGCAGCGAATTTTCTAGTCCAGCCAGTTGCAACGGGTTCAACGCTCTCTGGTCAAGATGGCAGCTCGGTTACCGAACATTACGTGAAGCTAAACAACTGATGATGGAATGTGAAATGCAGAGGGAGTACAACCTTGGACATCTGGTGCAACGCAGCTTCGGGTTTTATATAATCACAATTTTGAGCATGGAGTCATGCATATATAACGCCGAAGACGTTATTCTATACTGTACATAAAGCTGACAAGTTTTGTTTGTTTGAACGCGATCATCTCAGGAACTAATGGTTCGAATAGAAACATTATTTTTGTGTTGATTAGAGCATTTATTGAGGAAGGCGAAGAAGCAGTGGGGTGTGTAGAAAAAATGGGGAAAATTATTATTCTTTAAAGGTTCCCGTTGCGTGTGCGGCGACGACGGTTCAAGATACCCAAAAAAGGTGTTCAACAGTCATTCTTCTTTTCTTTCTTTTAAATAATCTAAAAAAATGTCCGCAACATTATAATATGTTGTTTTAATACCTACTTGCAATACGAGACATTTGTAACTACTTTTTAAATGGTTTGCAAAAACAAAGTTAGTGCCCAAAATAACCATTCTACGCGGACGAAGTCGCTGGCACAGCTAGTGACTGATAAGTTACAAAGTTATGTCATCAGATCCATCACTAATCTACTGGCGTTAACGCACGTTTCAGGGTGGTGGGTCCGACCTTTAAAGACTACGAAAACTTTGAATTTAGATATGGATAGATCAGTATGTTACAATACTTGTAAAAGTCGTGGGTGGACGGAAGTTCAACGATTCCCGACGAGTTTCCAAACAGTTATAAAAACATTTGAATGAATCAAATAATAATAGAAAATGAAACTAATAATAGAAAATGTTATATTGAATATTAGGTAATGAAAATGAAAGTTTTGTATAATTTTCATAACCAATAACTCATTTTTCTTTTCTCCCTGCATCTTTAGTAGTAAATTATAAGCATGTTCTTGTCTGGGTTATTTTTAATAAGTGTTTTCTAAGCTCTGAACAGAGATTTACGTTTTAAAAGCATCTGCTAAAAGATGGGTTATTTTTCTTTTAATAAAATATTTACTTCAGTCTAATCTTTATTCGAAATGTTGCATTTTTTATTTATCAAGTGAGTTTATTACTAGTAATAAGAATACCTGTTTAAATGATGAGTTTTGTGATAATATATAGAATAAATGACCATACATAAATCTCTTATCACTGCTCCGACGTAAAACTTAAATTGCTTTTGGATTAGTAATGTTTTGTTTCAGTTCGATCACTGCATTAACTACAATATTTGTTCGTAATAACAAAAAAAATCGCTAAACTCTTTATCGTAATCACTTGTTTTAATTTTATCTTTAAACATCACTTTAAACATTTATTTTCTTAATTAATCAAAGTGCAAATAAATAGGTAATCGAAACATCAATGTTATTTAATTGTTATCAATTTGATTTAGGTTTAATCCTGTGGGTCATGGGACGAATACATTTATGTGTCCGTTTCACTTATGGATAGCGAAAATTTTAATATTTTGCCCGTGATTCGAACTTACTCGCCGTTTAAGTGTCGGTCTACGAAAGAACCATTGTAAAGATTAGTTTCTCTTATCTTCTGGAATTCCTACTACCACCGGAGAGGATTTAGTAGTAATTATCTAGATTACACATGCTGACTGAATTGAATTATTTTTTAATTACAAAATAACTGCACTTCACGAACGACATTACGTGTTGTTTTAACTTTCAATAAAATCTGCCTACCATTATTAAACATTGCGAGTTGAAACACGAAAAGGGTATTCGCGATTGTTAATATTCAAGCCACGAATTTCACCTTTAACTCAGCAGTGATTAATAATATTGTTTTAACATAAAATACTAGAAAATAATGTAAGCGTTAAGGACGACCTTCGCTTGTATTTTTTTTCACTTGATGGAAGGTAAAGTACCCGAACTTATATTTTTTCCAGCTATGGTTCATGAATCATAGTCATGAACCTAGTCATGACTCGGGCGGAATTTGGATACTTCACCACCAAGTGAACGTACCGTTTAATAAAAGTAAAATGTATTATGTGGCTGATATAGCAATGGAAGATTCTTTATTATTTTATTCTCTAAGGTGAATATTTTTTCCTCGTTTTCCCCATTTTCGACTGCTTCTTCCTATAAGTTGCAGTGTGCCTATAAAACCGTCCTCGATAAATGGTCTATCTAACATAAAAATAATTTATGTCATATTTCGAACGAGATTAATGTGTTTAAATAAACAAACAAACTCATCAGCTTTTTATTACTAGTATAGATATGATGGTAACAATTACTACAATTAGACCAACAAGTTCGTTGAATATAAGACGCGTTGTCTGAAGATTGTTCGTTCGTTTGTCTAGCGATCTCTACTTTGATCTAGGAGCGGCCAACAAGAAAATTTAATTAAAATGTATCCCAACCAAAGTAAATGTGTCTTCTTGGGATCCCGTACCCAAAGGTAACTCCGAATCTCTATAATTAAGACCATTAATTAATAAAGGTAAGATTTTTTTATGACACTGCTGTCTGTCAACTGTATTTTAAGGATCGTGATAGGTAGAGAGTGGAAATTTTGACAAATGAAGTACTTTTATTGAAATTACTAAAATACTACTACTAAGAAATACTAAAACCACACAAAGTAAATGTGTAAGGTGTATTACTTACAATAACAATACAACGCTATTTTATACTCTAAATCCGACTCGCTCTTGGCCGTTTTGGTATTATAGGATGAAAGGTAACTAGATGAGACATGACCTATGCATAGTAAAGTTGTATTTGCTTTATCTATTTTATTTTAATTCCAAATAAAACTTGCGTGACAATGAAAACTTATCTATCAAGATTTCCCTACGGACAACACGTTCGTTACAGACAGATAAAATGGAGAATTAATTTCTAAAAGTAAAACGTACATTATCATAAATAGATTATCATTTCGAAATCATTGTTATGGTTTTCGTGATAAAATCATTAAAGATATAATGAAATAAAGATATAATGAAATCGTGTCGCCACTGTGTTAAATAATATTAAAGCGATTTTTCGTAATATTGTTGTGATTATAATCTTTTGCAATATTTACACCTAGTTGAATGCCCTTCAATGAGTGCATTTTCTATAGGAATCTCTTTAAAGTTATGCTTGCTTGGTACATTCAGAATTGAGCGGCTGGAGAAGTACAGTACATTGAACCTTAGATTTAGAATATAATAGCATTCTAGTTTATACAGTTAACAAAATGATGATTAAGAAAATTAATATTTACATTGCTTTATTGCCCTATTATATAAAAAAGAAAGAAAGAAAACTATTTATTCACCATTATATTTTTTTATATTAACATATAACCGTAATTAAATAATTCACTATTTAAATTTTACATAAGAACATACGATAAAGCTTATGTTTTAGAATAACAATCTAATACTGAGTTGAATTGATTGAAGGCAATTTTATTCAGTGAAAAAAATGGTGGACCTACGGTTTCTCCTGATAAAATTGTGTCCCACCTTATTTTAATATGTTTATTCAGATTACAAAGTTATTATCATGTCTATGAATAGTTAGGCAATCGTATTTACATACCTCTATTTGTATAGTTTGTGTTGTAATTATTATTAAGTTTCAAATCAATACGAACTTGAGTTTAATTATTCATCTCCTTCATCTTTGTTTGTTTATAGCAATTTATTTGAGTGTTGATGAGTTTTATATCGTTCAGTAGGACTACTAGATCTTACCCGCGGTATTTCTCACTAGATAAATCTAAGTAAAAATAAAATACAGACAACGTAAACAAGTTTCGGTGATCAAAGATTAGTGTCAAAGTAAAATCATAATAAACGAAAAAAAACCATTCTATTTTTTTTCATACTAAAAGTACACTTTGTTATCTTTAATTATTTGAATTAATAATATACGAAATATATTGTCGATTAGTAAGTTAGTATTTTAAATACTAACGCTATTTCTACATTTCAGGTGCTTTGCAGCAGCGGTGGTCATGGGAAGATCGACGGTATCCCCAATGTCGAAGTCAAAAATCTAGTATTTGGAGAAATTAGGAACAATCGGCCATATTCAAAAATAAATTGTGAATAAGTTGAACTAATACACTTCGCGTTTTAAACCGTTAAAAGCGTTTATTTAAATGCGTATTTATTAAATATACTTACATAAAATTGAATTTATTTAAACGTCCCAAATATTACCAAAGCGCCATAAGTGTGTAAGAGATACAACTTACCAAACAGTGATGTAGCGAGCACAAACACGACAAGCACTAACACGGGTTCCATTCACGAACGAGTCGAGAAAACGAATATTTTTCCACTCGACGACGAAGAACTCGACAGCGTCGAAGAGTTGCTGCGTTTGCTCGCCTTTCTCGACAGACCATCCTTGCGAGCGTTTCTCGAGTCGAAGAACCGATCGATAACTTGTCGTATCGTCGAGTGTTTTCTATCGAACGGGTTGGGAAACATGACTCTTGCACATGTGGACTGCGCCGCGGGTCTCTAGTGAATGCGACGGTTTGCAACCGACGCCTTTCAAGATTGGGAAACGTGAGGCCAAGTTCAAGATCTGGTTGGTAAAACTAGGTAGAACTGCGTGTTGTGTCAGATATGTGTTCGCGCAGGTGAAAATTGGTACTGCTTTAATGTTTCCATGATCCTTCTGCGGTATACCGAACCAGTCTAACTGATGCTGACAAGATTTTCGGATCAAGATACTAAGGAACTCCTACACGTTGAATCTCGCAAAATTAAGTTAACTAAAAATGTAAATTAAAAAACGACTAAATTAAAAAAAAATACAAAACGGGCACGACTTGAACCGGCATTCACAGCGTTCCGTGCTGTTCCTCTAACCAAGTTGCCGGCTCGAGTCCTGCCCGTGTCGTAATGGTGTAGTGACATCATGTGAAATATATAAAAGTTTTCTAATTAAAAGTGTATTTTAGATTGAATAATTTTCAAGACACGAGCAGGTTTCAAGTCCACGACAGCAAAGCTGTTGTTACTTAATTGTGCTAATGGATAGAGCAACAGCGCGGAACGTGGTCGTCATGGGTTCGAGGTGTGCGTTATATTATTTTAAATAAAATACACTTAAAATTAGTAAGGGCTATCTTCTACAATAGGAAATAATAATAATAACGTTTTCAGCATGCTATATAACTGAACCCCAAGAAAAGTGTTCAAAATATTTTGCATCACGGTCCCATAATAAGCGTATAACCTTCGAATTATGTTAACTTGAAGCGTGCTTTCATAACTATTTTATAACATCTGTTTAGTAATAGGGCACCGATTCTATAAATAGCACAGAACAAAGTCTAAAACCATGACATGTTAACACGATGTTCTCGTCCTATTTCTCCATATATAGGCTTCTTTCATTGAGACTTAGCAGTGGAATTAATAAGGAATAATTGCTTATTTCACATTCTTTTCCCTGTTCGAAGTCGGTCTTCAAATATTAGATCAAGGTAGGGGTGGTCATGACGCTTAATTTGTTGCTGGATGATCATGGAGATAAAGTGGATATCATGAAAAGTACTCATGTAATTCAAGACTAGAATTTTATTATTACATACATACATTATTAAAAACTAACACAAAACATGTAAAAGGTAGAGTATATACTTGCACTAATATTATTTAGAAACTTAAAATAAGGGGTTTTACTGTATCTTTACGATACTCGTTTTTTTTCGGAAACAAATGAGTAGGTAAAAATAAATCAATGCTTCTGTTTATTTGGGCTGTCCAATAAAAAAGACTCGAGTGAATATTTAACATATATATAATAATAGCTTGTAAATGTATCGTTTACATTACAGGGAAAATATTAGCATTTTAGTAATTTAGGTCATGTCGTTATTAAGTACGGTATTCTTCAAGAATTCTTGATAATAACTTGATTACTTGATTTAAAGAACTCCTGACAACGTACACAAGCTTTTCATTCCGCGAACCTTGAAGGCTTTATTTACGTTTCGTTTCTAACTTCCCAACCCTTTGAAAATTTCAAGGAATGTTCTCAAAAAGAAAAATCAATACGACTTACTCTTAATTTAAAAATCGAAAATAAATTGAAAAAATTTTTCGATCGGGCAGGACTTCATGTGCAATAAAATGGGAGAAAAATATTAATGTTTTCAATACGACGTTACTCTTCATAAAACTCCAGCGACAAATACTTTTATAATTTTAAACAAACCAACATTTAGGCACTGTGGTCTGTTGCATTTATTATTTAGCTATACTTTACTTTGAAAACTTTAATATTTTTTTTACATGTGGTTTTCAGAGCAACAGCACGGAACGCTGACGATGCCGGTTCAAGTCCTGCCTGAGTCGATTTTTTTTTCGATTTTTAAATTATATACTTTACTTGTTTATCTTTTGTTTTTTAATTTGCTTTACTAATATTTATATCAAGTGTAGGTTATACACTATTTTTTATTATATAATATGTTATATCGTTAACATTCTGGACATAGTTCAAAATTTCAAACAAAAGTTTTCTCAACAATAATGGTAACAAAGGCAATTAACAATATTGTAAAGATTTGTGATTGATTCCTATAAGACGATATATATATTTAAAACATTCACGCACTAGATGACATTATATACACTAAAAGCATGGGCGAGAGGTGCATGTATCAATCGATTGAAGAGTTTCGACAATGACGTATAAAAAACGGAAATTCGAGTCCCGCCGACAATTTTACTCAATACAAAACAGATGTTTTATTTATAATGCTATCGATTCTGTTATAATACATTTAACGCAGATTAATGTAAATTACAAAATCACCGCTAGATAGCGCTGTAAACAAATTTAATGTTCTCATAAACATTGATAAAAATTTACAGGTTTAGTTGTATTAATCCTTAATCATATATTTAAAAAAATATAATTATTATTTGTGATCAAAAGATTGTATTGATCGTTGAGTTGAAGTATACAACAGTATTTCTTAAGATACCTGACCTAACGTTATTTTCTAACTGAAATAAGTATAAACACATTATTTACGTTTTATCTCTGGCATTTTCCGTTGTACTCATAAAGATTAAGGTTGTAAAAATAATCTTATGGTAAACTAATTTCAATTGCTTTCTGGCGCCTGACTTCAAACAGATACGTAAATTCTAAAACCTTTTTTATATATTTTTTACCTTTGATTCAGCGTCACACCCAGAAAGGTAAATATGAAACCAGTCTATAATTACAGCTATATATAAGTTTGAGCAAGATAATAGTAATACTGCACTTGTGGAGGCATCTGCCTTTTTAACAGCGATACCGCTAATAAATTAATTTCAATTGTACGTAGGTAAGATCCTAGATTCAGATAGTGGCAATTTATGTCTACTGATGAAAAAGCCATGAAGCGTAATCCCACGTTTGTTCTACTGTGGATTGTGGTGATGGTCTGGTGGATTTCTGAATGTACAAAGCACATATAGCTCGATAGCGCTTCGTATTGAGATGATCTATGGCTGGGGTATTATATTTATTTTATTTAATGGCTCCCAAGATCTCTCCTTTCACTTAGAAAGAGATGTTTGGAAACATAAAATAACATTATTATGTTTGTGCAAATATAAGATAGTTTATAACGGATTTACATGTATTGTTACTGTATTTTTAATTACTATTGACTATATTATAATTATGTGTGCCTACAATAATATTATATTATTAATATATAACATTATTTTCCACCAAGTGGTCTCCACCCTTGTATGTTATAAAAAACGCACCTAAGAAGAAATACATATTCTCACATTGGGAGCGGATTTGTATGAAAGCTTTATGAAAACCTAAAACATTTTACTAAATACGTCTGCGGTTTGAAATTCTCCGATAATTTATTTGATATAACCTTATTTTACCGCAGAACAAAATTTTCCATTTAGCAAAGTATCCAATTAATTAAATGAAACGTCAACAGACAACAGCTTCGGTATTAAAAAGCCATTAATGGTAACATTATTGTTTTTAGTTGGTAAACAAGCAGTGGCTTCTATTAGTTTTGATAATTATTGGATTTCTATAAGGTCTAGTGTTTGGATTTAGTCAAATATATCCATGCGTTACTGAACTTCAAATTTCTCTCGCCATATTTCTCCATAATATGGGGAATATTAATTTTAACTCATAAATCATATATAAGAAGCTGATGCTGTCAATTAATTTCTATTGGAGAAACTCAAATACCATCTTAAACAGTTGACAATTCAATAATTTTGTCAGTTTTGCTACAAAAACAAATATCGCATTAAAGCAATGAAATATTATCATGAGTAGCACAAATTTAAATAAAACGCTTTAAACGGTTTAAAAAGTTTAGTTACCTTATCCTTAATTTATCTTAACTTCGGTCCGACGTTTCGGTGGTTCCCCTTGATCAGTAATTTCATTCTTTGTGCTTCCAAATCTCCATCGTTTTCAAACATGTTCTGATATTAAATGAAGAAATTTATTGTTCTATGATCTAAACGAACTACAATAATAAACCATTGATAATCGATTCAGACGGGACTCAAACAAATCATTGCTCTACTAATTGAACTATCATGTCAACGCACTGTCTAAATTAACTTAGATATATAAATATTGCGTTCTAAAATACATCATTATTAATTTCGTATTATATTATTAAGTACAAAACCTAAAATGAAGACTATATTTACATAAATCTAGGATGGAAATTTATTTAGAAATCTTTGATCATAGGAAGAAAAAATAACAGTTAGAAATATTTACAAAACGACAAGTAAACTAATTTCAATTATTGCCTGAATAATATTGATGAAAATAATTTGTTTATATCTTGCGAGAAATATAAAATACTTCTTAGAGTCTAACACGTATTTCTGTCATGAATATAACGCGAGAAGACGCAGGTTCGAACCCGGGGGGAATATTAAAAAAAGTTCGCTCGAGCAAGGCACTAAAGTTTGTCTGCCTTTATGTCAATGATTATTCAATAAAAGGATACAAAAATGTGTCTGCCCTATGCACCTCGTAGGGGTAATGAGATTTCACATAAGGTCGAGATGTCGCTCAGAGATTTTGATGTATAATATAATAAATTGCAGTTCAGCAGGCGTACTCCGCTTAACGTACTCCGCTGGCACAGCGGCTTAAAGTCTTGAGACTAAAGAGCGCCATTATCGCTGATCATGCACGGCTATTCACCATTCGGGCACACCGAGCTCGTGCACGTCCTTCTCCACGGCGTCCGTCCAGCGACATCTTGGGCGCCGACTATACTAACACTATGCTTTCTGATCTCATGTCAAGAATAGGATTCATAAGGACGAGACAAAATGAACGATCAGTAATTTGAAATAGGTCGTGTTAATAAAAAGGAAATGGGTCTGATTTATCTTGTTACTCAAGGTATTTCTTTGTTTCACGTGTTTGAAAGTCTTTTGATCTAAGAACAGAATTACTTTGACAAGTAATTCGATATTATGAGTGTTAAGGAGAATCGA